CATTTTAGCTCAGGGGCCACATGGAGGAAAATCTATTCCCAAGTGGGCCGGACCGGAAAAATCATGGTATATATAACTTAAAAACAACAAATTCAGATTGTTTTCTTTGTTTTAATACGATCAACATACAACATAAAGCTGGAGCCTGAGGACAGTGTGTCCAAAATAGTACAAGCACAACATCACTATTAATCATAAAACACGTAAAGTTTATTTGAAAATTCTAAAGAAAAAGAACACAAACACACAATGCCTCAGTGATTAACAGAACTGTTTCACAGATCACAGAACTATATCAGGGGGTCATTTCTCAGGCAGAAATGTAGATAAAAAGAATGAAATCATGTTCCCCAAACAAGTGCAAGAACCACAGAGTCAAGAATAGGTTAAATATACAAATAAAATAAAATCAATTAAAAACAATAGCACATCAACATAAAAACATATAAACATAAAGCTGGAGCCTGAGGACAGTGTGTCCAAAAGCACAACATCACTATTAATCATAAAACACCTCAAGTTATTTGAAAGTTCTGAGGACAAAGAACACACAAACACACAATGCCTCAGTGATTCACAGAAGTATATCACAGATCACAGAACTATATCAGGGTGTCTCATGTAGCACTTTAAGTGGGGTTGCATAGTTTATTTGACTCCTGATACCTGGCATCTTTTAGCTTTCACCAGCGCATCAATATCAGGCGTCACATCCTGAGTGGCAGCCAACTTCAGGATGTGATTCAAGTGCTTGTGCGTGAGCCTTGAGCGCAGCTTTGTTTTATTTATGCTCATTACAGAGAAAACCTGCTCACAAAGATATGTGGTTCCAAACATGCACAACAGTTTTGCAGCGAGGGCTGTCAAGTTGGGGTAACCTGGCAAGAGATTCTGATTAAATGTGTCCAAGCCAGCTGCGGCAAATTTGCCCTTCAAATCCGAGTCACACTGCAAGTCTATTATTTCAAGTTGGATGCTGACGGGCAGATCAAAGGGATTCACAGTGAATGGCGAGCAAAAAACATTGAAGTCTTTCTCCAGTTCACCAAAAATCTGAAAGCGTTGCTCAAACTCCCGTAACAGTCCCATTATTTTATCTTTGAACCGCTTCATGTCTGCCACATGTTGGGTCGCGCACACATTTTTCAGACAGGGGAAGTGAGCTGCATCACCACCGGCAAGTTGTGTCTCCCACAATGACAGCTTCAACTTGAAAGAACGTATGCTGTCATAATACTGCGTGACAACTTTGTTGCGCCCTTGCAGCTGTTTGTTCAAGTTATTCAGGTGCTCTGTAACATCCACCATAAATGCAAGGTCCTGCATCCATTCTGCGGAATGGAATTCTAACACTGGTTTGCCCTTTTCTTCCATGAACTGTTCAATTTCTTCTCGTAAATCAAAGAAACGCCTCAGCACCTCGGCTTAACCATCTTACCTCAGTGTGGTATGGCAGGCCGTAGATGTGGTCTTTCTCTCTGAGAAGGCTGTCAAACTGACGGTGATTCAGGCTTCTGGATCGGATGAAATTAACAGTTTGGATGACCACCTTCATGACGTTATCCATCTTTAATGACTTGCAACACAAAGCCTCCTGGTGCAAAATACAGTGAAAAGTCAAAAAATCACGTCCTCCATTTGCAGATTGCACTTTCTCTCTGAACTTTGTCACAACACCTGCTTTTTTCCCGATCATTGAGGGCGCACCATCTGTAGCCAGGCTGACAGCGCGGGACGAGTCCACTCCGACCCTGTCCAGCGCGCCGACGAGTGCGGTAAAAATATCAGCTGCTGTCGTTGTATCTGTCATCGGCACCAACTCCACGAACTCCTCGTGACGGTCAATGTGTCATCAACTCCGCGGATGAAAATGGCCAGTTGTGCAACATCTGTAATGTCCGTGCTTCCATCAATTGCAACCGAAAACGCAATAAATGACTTTACTTTTTGCTTCAACTGGCTGTCCAAATCCACTGAAAGATCGGAAATCCTGTCTGCAACTGTGTTTCTTGTCAGGCTGATATTTACAAAAGCCTGACGCTTTTCAGGGCACACAATCTCCGCTGCCTTCATCATGCATGTTTTTACAAATTCACCCTCACTAAATGGTTTTGAAGCCACTGCGATTTCATTAGCAATGAGGTAGCTAGCTTTCACTGCAGCGTCACTGATGTCTCGGCTGTGAGTAAACACAGACTTGACCTACTTGCTCTGCCCCGGTATAAACAGTTTGCTTGCTTAACACAATTGCGATTGCGCCATCCAGTGGACGTAATTGGAACAGCAGTTTATTTTATTGAAAAATTGCAGCACATTTTTATACTTTACAAAATCATCTCGCGGGCCGGATTAAACCTGTTTGCGGGCCTGATCGTTTGACACCCCTGATCTATAGCATTTCTTAATATTATTCAGTTCCTTTGGCTTTGATGCCTCATGATTTGAGTATTTCTTTATTTGCAATAAAATGCAAATCAATTACTTAAAAATCATACAATGTGATTTTCTGGATTTTTATTTTAGATTCCGTCTCTCACAGTTGAAGTGTACCTATGATAAAAATTACAGACCTCTACCTACTTTGTAAGTAGGAAAACCTGCAAAATCGGCAGTGTATCAAATACTTGTTCTCCCCACTGTGTGTGTGTGTGTGTGTGTGTATGTGTATATATATATATATATATATATATTTGTCCATCTCTATTTGTCTCTCTGATTGTGTGTCTTTGTCTCAGTGTGTTTGTCTGTGTAACAGTAGATATCCTGCTTGTTTTCATGCCACATAGGGAAAACACATATGGTACCACAGAGCAAAACTCATTGTACTCACACAGAGTGCAGTGAGAGACAAAGATGCTTAAAGAAGGAGAGAGAGACAAAAATGCTTAAAGAAGGAGAGATGGAGACAAAGATGCTTAAAGGAGAGAGAGAGAGAGTTGTCAGTACTTTGTGCTGTGCATGATGCCAAGTGAAACAAACAATGGTGTTCAGTAGTGGCTATGAGTGGTGGAGTCTGAGAGAGACCTCGTTAAGGGAACAGACCTTGTTAACAGGCTGAGAGAGAGAGAGGCCTCTGTGTGTGACCTCTCTCTAAGAGAAAGGCCTGCTCTACTCGACTGCTACTCTGTGTACTCCAGTCCAGTTAGTGACTGTCTTATAATACACTGTACTGAAGTCTGTAGTAGGAGTATTAGACTAGTAATAATAACAGTAGTTGTGGAGATGGTGTTAACGCTATGCCCATCACACTTTTACATTTGAGCTCCTTCTAATATAATTGCAGTAGCTATGATGTCACTACCAGTCAATAGTGTCAGCTGCTGGTGGTATGTGGTGTTTCCATATCTGCCTCTGTGTAAAACTAGTCCAAGTCCAGATACCTATTTACTGTTATGCCTCTGTGTAAAACTGTAAAAAGAAAAAAAGCCTGGAAGGGAGAAAAGAGAGAGAGAGAGAAACTTGGAAAACTAGACAAGGTTCCTTGTTGAAGGGAAGAGGAGATGGATAGAGGAGGTTTAAGGAGGAAAAAAGCCAAATGGGGACACATGCTCTTTTGGTCTCCTCTGGCCTTCTAGTCTCAGTGTTGTTGGCTTTGGAAAACAGTAGTGTGTGTGTCTGTAAGTGTCCAACACACTGAACTCAACCCAGAAGAACACACACTCCCCACAGGAAAGATCCTGAGCTTGTCCCAACAGTTTGGTGTGTGTGTGTGTGTGCTGCTTTGTGCTTGCCTCAGAGCTATCCATTTCCACCTGCATGGTGAACTATGTGCAGTAGCCCTGTGCGACGTTAATACTCTTCCCCCGGTGGTGGAGACGGTGATGTTAGTTGCTCTCTACCCTAGGGTGTTTTTTTATCCCCTTTATATCTATCATACTGTTTCTCCAGTCTTTCTGTTTTCTAACTAATGCTTTAATATTGTCCTCTCTCACATCCTGTTCCTCCGCTCCAGTCCTATATTCCTCTTGCTCTCTATCTCTCTCCTCCCTCCAGTTGAAATGTACCTCAGGATTAACATGAGTTCTCTTCTGAAGTATTGAAGTAATTAACAGAACCCCTCTCTGTCTCTCTCTCTCTTCTGTCTCTCTCTCTCTTCTGTCTCTCTCTCTTCTTTCTCTCTCTCTCCTCTCTCTCTCTCTCTCTTTCCCCCTCTCTCTCTCTCCCCCCTCTCTCCTCCCCCCCCTTCTCTCTCTCCCTCCCTTTTCCCCCCCTCCCCTCCTCTTCTTTCTTCCCCTCTTCTCCCCCTCTTCTTTTTTCTTTCCCTTTTCTTCTTTCTCTCTCTCTCCTCTCTCCCCTCTCCTTTCCCCCTTTCCTTTCTCTCCTCTCCTTCTTCTCTCCTCCTTTTCTCTCTTCTCTCCCCCCCTCCCCCCCTTTTTCTCCCCTGTCCTTTCCTTTCTTCCTCCTCTCCCCTGTTGTGGAAGGGGGAGGGAAGAACGATGGGTAAGGACCCCAGGTTTTTCCCGTCCCCCCCCCTCTGTAAGGGCCCTGAAAACCCCTAAAATCTGATAATCCAAGTTCAATCAGAAGTTCTGATAATCCCCAGTTGTACAGGTTTTGCGGGTTTGGGGGTTGTCTTAGTAAAAGGGCTGAGTGGTTTTTGTGGTGGGCTGGGGGTGTTATTGGTGGGCTGAGTGTGTTTATGTGGTGGGGTGAGTGTGTTATGGTGGTGGCTGAGTGTTTATGTGGTGGGCTGAGTGTGTTTATGTGGTGGGCTGAGTGTGTTATGTGGTGGGCTGAGTGTGTTATGTGGTGGGATGAGTGTGTTATGTGGTGGGCTGAGTGTGTTATGTGGTGGGCTGAGTGTGTTATGTGGTGGGCTGAGTGTGTTATGTGGTGGGCTGAGTGTGTTATGTGGTGGGCTGAGTGTGTTATGTGATGGGCTGAGTGTGTTATGTGATGGGCTGAGTGTGTTATGTGATGGGCTGAGTGTGTTATGTGGTGGGCTGAGTGTGTTATTTGATGGGCTGAGTGTGTTATGTGATTGGCTGTGTGTGTTTCAGCCATCTTCCTGGGCTCGTTCCGTATGCCCTATGAGGAGATCAAGAACGTCATCCTGGAGATCAACGAGAAGCTGCTCTCTGAGTCCATGGTGCAGGTACAGACCAGATTGTCTGTCTGTCTGTCTGTGTCTGAGCATGCGTTAGAAAGTCATTATTTTCTATATATGTGTGTAAGGTAATGCAAATGTATGTTTTGTTTAGTCAAATGTTGTGTTCATCCTGTATGTAAATAAATGTTCTCTCTGTGTGTGTAGAATCTGATCAAGCAGTTGCCGGAACAGGAGACGCTGAATGTTCTGGGGGAGATGAAGGAGGAGTATGAAGACCTGGCGGAGGCCGAGCAGTTTGGAGTAGTGGTGAGAACACACACACACACACTATTGTGTGACCTAACTACTGACAGCTGGGGAGAACCACATGGCTGACTGGAAAATGAAGCATAAACAAAGCTCTGATTGGCCTGAATAAACTTCAGCATTAAACCCTATTGCGCCTACTCAAACACTACCAGGAATAGGATCCTGCCCATCCCACTTTAAAGGAAACATAAGCACTAAAACGATGCTTCACAAACCATCTATAACGCACCCCTTGTGTGTGTGTCATGGTCTCCCCTCTCCCCCCTCTGTCCCCCCTCTCCCCCCTCTGTCTCCTCTCTCTCCCCTCTGTCTCCTCTCTCTCCCCTCTTTGTTCCCTCTCCCCTCTTTGTCCCCTCTCCCCTCTTTTTCCCCTCTCCCCCCTCTTTTTCCCCCCCCGCCCCCCCCCCCCTCTTTTCCCCTCTCCCCCTCTTTCCCCCCCCTCTCCCCCCCCGGGGTTTTTCCCCCTTTCCCCCTCGCCCCCCCCCTCTTTTGCCCCTCCCCCTTCCCCCTCTCCCCTCTCTTCCCCTCTCCCCTTCTTCCCCTCTCCCCTCCCCTGTCCCCCCTTCCCCCCCTCTTTTCCCTCTCCCCCCTCTTTCCCCTCTCCCCTCTCTTTCCCCCCCCCTCTCTTCCCCCCTCCCCCCCCCCTCTTTCCCCTCTCCCCTCTTCCCCTCTTTTCCCCCTCCCTCCGCCCCTCTCCCCCTTTTCCCCTCTCCCCCTCTCTTCCCCTCTCCTCCCCCCCCCCTCTGTCACCTCTTCCCCTCTCTTCCCCTTCCCCCTCTCTGTCCCCTTTCCCCCTCCGTCCCCCTCCCCCTCTTGTCCCCTCTCCCCTCTCTGTCCCCTCTCCCCTCTCTGTCCCCTCTCCCCCCTCTGTCCCCTCCCCCTCTTTCCCCTCTCCCCTCTCGTCCCCCCCCCCTTCCCCCTCCCCCTCTCGTCCCTCTCCCCCTTCCTCTGTCCCCTCTCCCCCCTTTTCCCCTCTCCCCCCCTTTTGTCCCCCCCTTCCCCCCTCTTTCCCCCCTCCCCCTCTTCCCCTCCTCCCCCTCTTCCCCTCTTTCCCCCCCGTCCCCTCTTCCCCTCCCCCTTCCCCTCTCCCCCTCTGTCCCCCCCCCTTCCCCCTCTTTTCCCCCCTCCCCTCCCCCCTCTTCCCCCCCCCCCCCCCTTTCCCCTCTCCCCCCTCCCCCTCTCCCCTCCTGTCCCCTTTTCCCCTCTCCCCCCCCTTTTCCCCTTCCCCCTCCCCTTGTCCCCCCCCCCCCTCCTGCCCCCCTTTTTCCCCCCCTCTCCCCCTCCCCTTGTTCTCCTCCCCCGTCCCCCCCCCCTCGTCCCCTCCCCCCCTCTTTTCCCCCCTGGGCCCCCCCCCCCTTGTCCCCTTCCCCTTTGTTTTTTGCCCCCCTCCCCCCTTCCCCCCTCCCCCTTTTTCCCTCTTTTTTCCCCTTCCCCTTTTTTCCCTCTTCTCCCCTTTTTTGGGCTTTCTTTCCCCTCTTTCCCCTTCTTTCCCCCGCCCCCCCCCCGTTCCCCCCCTTTTTTCCCCTCCCCCCCTCTTTCCCCCCCCTCCTTTTCCCCCGGCCCCCCCCACCTTTTTTCAGTTTTCCCCCGTCCCCCCCTTCGCCCCTTTTAAAACCCCCTTCTCCCACCCCCAGGTCACGGGGGAAAACCTGCCCCGAGGCCCCTTTTTTTGGGGATTTTGGGGGGTCCCAAAAGGGGGGGGGGGGGGGGGGGGGGGGGGGGGGGGGGGGGGGGGGGGGGAAAAAAAAAAAAAAAAAAAAAAAAAAAAAAAAAAAAAAAAAAAAAAAAACCCTTTTTTGGGGCCCCCAAAAGGACCCAAAAGGGGAGGGAAACCTTCCCTTTCCCCTTTCAAAAACCCCCCCCCGGGGACCCTCTCCCCCCTCCAGATGTCGACGGTGAAGCGTCTGAAGCCTCGGCTGACGGCCATCTTGTTCCGGCTGCAGTTTGAGGAGCAGCTGAACAACATCAAGCCAGACGTGGTGTCTGTGACGGCGGCCTGCGAGGAGCTGAGGAAGAGCAGCACCTTCTCCCAGCTGCTGCAGATCATCCTGCTGGTGGGTAACTACATGAACGCTGGCTCCCGCAACGCCAAGGCCTTCGGATTCAGCATCAGCTACCTCTGCAAGGTGAGATATATACACACACACACACGTCATGGCTCTACAGAGCTACCATTGTACTCGCGTATGCGCCTAAATATGTTGATTGTTGCAATGATTACTTCACTGTACCGCGGCCCCTGAGTGCCATGGAGAATACACTGAGCGCTGATTCATGGCCGTCATGCTTGCACCATTACCACAAAGAAATGTGTCAACTTAGGCACACATGCTCCTTGTAAAAACGGTCCGCGTAAAGTGCTGCATGTACATAACCACGGTTTTAAAAAGGGGTGGCAATAAGGGGTATACTTTAGAATCTGCCCTCTGTCCAATCAGCTGCGGGACACCAAGACAGCTGACCTGAAGCAGACTCTCCTGCACTTCCTGGCTGATGTGTGTCAGGAGCAGTACCCCGACGTCCTGACGTTCCCCGACGAGCTCATTCACGTAGAGAAGGCCAGCCGAGGTAACCATGGACTACACCTAACAACACCTACCCTCAGTACTCTCACACAGTTTCCTTTCCTTGTTTCCTCTCCTCATCCTGTTTCCTTTCATGATACACTGCCCTGTCTCCTCTAACCCCTGTCCCAGTGTCAGCGGAGACCCTGCAGAAGAACCTGGAGCAGATGGGCTGTGCGCTGAAGACTCTGGACAAAGACCTGGAGACCTTCCCTCCTCCACAGAGTGATAGGGACATGTTTGTAGAGAAAATGACTATATCCTTTACTACTGCAAATCACTGTCAATCAAACTTCATTCAATCATTTTAACCTCCTCCTAGTCCAATCAAACTTAATGTAAAGGGACGTTTCAAAGGAGCTCCACACATCTTACGATTTACGATGGCGACAGGAAACATCCTCTGATGTAATTTCCTGTAAGCCTTTCCATGCTGAATGTGTGTGACTGTTTATGAATGTGTGTTTGAGAGTGTATGAATGAGTGTGTATGCTTATGTGTGTTGGGCATGGTGTGTATATCTCTGTGTTGGGCGTGGTGTGTATATCTCTGTTGGGCATGGTGTGTATATCTCTGTTGGGCATGGTGTGTATATCTCTGTTGGGCATGGTGTGTATATCTCTGTTGGGCATGGTGTGTATATCTCTGTTGGGCATGGTGTGTATATCTCTGTGTTGGGGTGGTGTGTATATCTCTGGGTGGTGGGTATATCTCTGTGTTGGGCGTGGTGTGTATATCTCTGTGTTGGGGGTGGTGGGTATATCTCTGTGTTGGGCATGGTGTGTATATCTCTGTGTTGGGGGTGGTGTGTATATCTCTGTGTTGGGGGGTGGTGTGTATATCTCTGTGTTGGGGGTGGTGTGTATATCTCTGTGTTGGGGGTGGTGTGTATATCTCTGTGTTGGGGGTGGTGTGTATATCTCTGGGTGGTAGGTATATCTCTGTGTGGGTGTGGTTGGGTGGGGTGGGTGTGTGTTTGGTGTGGTTTTGGTGTGGTGGTTTTGTGGTGGGGGGTGTTTGGTTGATATCTCTGTGTTGGGGGTGGTGTGTATATCTCTGGGTGGTAGGTATATCTCTGTGTGGTGGGGTGGTGTGTGTATCTCTGTGTGTTGGGGTGGCGTGTATATCGCTGTGTTGGGCGTGGTGTGTATATCTCTGGGTGGTAGGTATATCTCTGTGTGTTGGGGTGGTGTGTGTATCTCTGTGTGTTGGGGTGGTGTGTATATCTCTGTGTTGGGGGTGGTGTGTGTATCTCTGTGTGTTGGGGTGGTGTGTATATCTCTGGGTGGTAGGTATATCTCTGTGTGGTGGGGTGGTGTGTGTATCTCTGTGTGTTGGGGTGGTGTGTGTATCTCTGTGTGTTGGGGTGGTGTGTATATCGCTGTGTTGGGGGTGGTGTGTATATCTCTGTGTTGCCAGGCTGTGTATTTCTTAACTACGTTCCTCACAGCTTTGTGGCCAGTGCCAGAGAGCAACATGAGAAGTTGGACATGATGCATAAGAACATGGAGAAGCAGTACTCTGACCTGGGGGAATACTTTGTGTTCGACCCTCGCAAGATTTCTGTCGAAGAGTTCTTCGGTGACCTCAACAACTTCAAGAACATGTTCCAGGTGAGTTTGAGCGTTGGCAAATGGCAGGTAGTGTCAGTTAGTATTAGTATCAGGTAGTATCAGTTAGTATTAGTATCAGGTAGTACCAGATATATCATTTAGTATTAGTAACAGGTAGTAGCATGTAGTACCAGGTATATCATTTAGTATCAGGTAATACCAGGAAGTGTCAGTTAGTATTAGTACCAGGTAGTGTCAGATAGTACCAGTTAGTATTAGTATCAGGTAGTACCAGTTAGTATTAGTATCAGTTAGTATTAGTATCAGGTAGTATCAGTTACTATTAGTGTCAGGTAGTATCAGTTAGTACAATGTAGCTCAGTTAGTATTAGTGTCAGGGAGTACCAGGTAGTTCAGTTAGTACAAGGTAGTTCAGTTAGTACAAGGTAGTTCAGTTAGTATCAGGTAGTTCAGTTAGTATCAGGTAGTATCAGTTAGTTCAGTTAGTATCAGGTAGTTCAGGTAGTATCAGATAGTTCAGTTACTATCAGGTAGTTCAGTTAGTATCAGGTAGTTCAGTTAGTATCCGGTAGTTCAGTTAGTATCAGGTAGTATCAGTTAGTATCAGTTAGTTCCATTTAGTATCAGGTAGTTCAGTTAGTATCAGGTAGTATCAGGTAGTATCAGTTAGTATCAGGTAGTTCAGTTAGTATCAGTTAGTATCAGTTAGTATCAGGTAGTTCAGTTAGTATCATTTACATTACATTTTACATTTTATTCATTTAGCAGACGCTCTTATCCAGAGAGACTTACAGGAGCAATTAGTGTTAAGTGCCTTGCTCAAGGGCACATCGACAGTCGGCTCGGGGATTAGAACCAGCGACCTTTCGGTTACTTACACAACGCTCTTAACCACTAGTATCAGGTAGTTCAGTTAGTATCAGGTAGTTCAGTTAGTATCAGGCCGAGGCAGTTCTATTGTGTTTCTTCCATTTGCGAATAATCGCACCAACTGTTGTCACCTTCTCACCAAGCTGCTTGGCGATGGTCTTGTAGCCCATTCCAGCCTTGTGTAGGTCTACAATCTTGTCCCTGACATCCTTGGAGAGCTCTTTGGTCTTGGCCATGGTGGAGAGTTTGGAATCTGATTCATTGATTGCTTCTGTTCCCTTTAAGAGTGTGCTCCTAATCTCAGCTGGTTACCTGTATAAAAGACACCTGGGAGCCAGAAATCTTTCTGATTGAGAGGGGGTCAAATACTTATTTCCCTCATTAAAATGCAAATGTTATTCTGTCTCTCACTGTTCAAATAAACCTACCATTAAAATTATAGACTGATCATTTCTTTGTCAGTGGGCAAACGTACAAAATCAGCAGGGGATCAAATACTTTTTTCCCTCACTGTAGTATCAGGTTGTTCAGTTAGTATCAGGTAGTATCAGGTAGTTCAGTTAGTATCAGGTAGTATCAGGTAGTTCATTTAGTATCAGGTTGTTCCGTTAGTATCAGGTAGATCAGTTAGTATCAGGTAGTTCAGGTTGTTCAGTTAGTATCAGGTAGTTAAGTTACTATCAGGTAGTTCAGTTAGTATCAGGTAGTTCAGTTAGTATCAGGTAGTTCAGGTTGTTCAGTTAGTATCAGGTAGTTCAGGTTGTTCAGTTAGTATCAGGTAGTTCAGTTAGTATCAGGTAGTTCAGGTTGTTCAGTTAGTATCAGGTAGTTCAGTTAGTATCAGGTAGTATCAGGTAGTTCAGGTTGTTCAGTTAGTATCAGGTAGTTAAGTTACTATCAGGTAGTTAAGTTACTATCAGGTAGTTCAGTTAGTATCAGGTAGTTCAGGTTGTTCAGTTAGTATCAGGTAGTTCATTTAGTATCAGGTTGTTCCGTTAGTATCAGGTAGATCAGGTAGTTCAGGTTGTTCAGTTAGTATCAGGTAGTTCAGTTAGTATCAGGTAGTTCAGTTAGTATCAGTAGTTTCAGGTTGTTCAGTTAGTATCAGGTAGTTCAGTTTAGTAGTCAGGTAGGTTTAAGTTACTATCAGGTAGTTCAGTTAGTATCAGGTAGTTCAGGTTGTTCAGTTAGTATCAAAGGTAAGTTAGTCAGTTAGTATCAGAGGTAGTTCAGTTAGTATCAGGTAGTTAGTTATCATCAGGTTAGTTCAGTTAGTATCAGGTAGGGTTCAGGTTGTTCAGTTAGTATCAGGTAGTTGCAGTTAGTATCAGGTAGTTCAGGGGTTGTGTCAGTTAGTATCAGGTAGTTAAGTTACTATCAGAGTAGTTTCAGTTAGTATCAGGTAGTTCAGTTAGTATCAGGTAGTTCAGGTTGTTCAGTTAGTATCAGGTAGTTCAGGTTGTTCAGTTAGTTTCAGGTTGTTCAGTTAGTATCAGGTAGTTCAGGTTGTTCAGTTAGTATCAGGTTGTTCAGTTAGTATCAGGTAGTTCAGGTTGTTCAGTTAGTTTCAGGTTGTTCAGTTAGTATCAGGTTAGTTCAGGTAGTTCAGTTAGTAGTATCAGTGTAGTAGTTCAGGTTGTGTGTCAGTGTTAGGTATCAGTAGTAGTTCAGTTAGTAGTCAGGTAGTTCAGTGGTAGTTCAGTTAGTATCAGGTAGTTCAGTTATAGTTATCAGGTAGTTCAGGTTGTATCAGGTAGGTATCAGTTAGTATCAGGTAGTTCATGTTGTTCAGTTAGTATCAGGTTGTTCAGTTAGTATCAGGTAGTTCAGTTAGTATCAGGTGTTCAGGTTTTGTTCAGGTTTTGTTCAGTTTAGTAGTTCAGTTAGTAGTCAGGTAGTTCAGTTAGTTCAGTTAGTATCAGGTAGTTCAGGTGTTCAGTTAGTATCAGTTAGTATCAGGTTAGTTCAGTTATTCGTAGTTCAGTTAGTATCAGGTAGGTTCAGTTAGTATCAGTAGTATCAGGTTAGTTCAGTTAGTTCAGTGTCAGTCAGGTAGTTCAGTTAGTATCAGTAGTCTTTCAGTTGTTCAGGTAGTATCAGTTAGTAGCAGCAGGTGTAGGTTCAGTTAGTATCAGGTAGTTAGTTAGTATAGTGTTTCAGGTATGTTCAGTTAGTATCAGGGTAGTTCAGTTAGTATCAGGTAGTTCAGTTTAGTATCAGTAGTTCAGGTGTGTAAGTTAGTAGTAGTTAGTTAGTATCAGTGTTAGTTAGTATTCAGTTAGTATCAGGTAGTTCAGTTAGTATCAGGTAGTATCAGGTTAGTTCAGTGTTAGTTAGTTAGTATCAGGTAGTTAGTTAGTATCAGGTAGTTAGTTAGTATCAGTTAGTATCAGGTAGTTCAGTTAGTATCAGTTAGTAGTCAGGTAGTTCAGGTTAGTTCAGAGTTAGTTATCGTAGTTAGTATTCAGTGTAGTTCAGTTAGTATCAGGTTAGTTCAGTTAGTATCAGATAGTTTCAGGTTGTTCAGTTAGTATTTCAGTTTAGTATACAGGTAGTTCAGTTAGTTCAGGTAGTTCAGTTAGTATCAGGTAGTTTCAGTTAGTATCAGGTATCAGGTAGTTAGGTTGTTCAGTTAGTATCAGTGGTTAGTTTCATGTTAGTTAATCAGGTTTAGTAGTTCAGGTTGTTTAGTATATCAGGTAGCAGTATCAGTTAGTTAGTTATTAGTTAGTTTCAGGTAGTTTCAAGTTAGTATCAGGTAGTTCAGTTGTTCAGTATCAGTTAGTATCAGGTTCAGTGTTGTTCAGTTTAGTATCAGTTTAGTTATCAGGTAGTTCAGGTGTTCAGTTTCAGTTTAGTATATCAGGTAGTTCAGTAGTATCAGTAGTGTATATGTTCAGTTAGGTATCAGTTAGTAGCAGGTAGTTCAGTAGTATCAAGGTGTAAGGTTCAGTTTAGTGTTCAGTTGTTAGTTTCAGTTAGTATCAGGTGTATGTTCAGGTTAGGTTATCAGGTTAGTTTTTCAGTGTAGTATCAGGTTAGTTCAGGTTGTTCAGTTAGTATCAGGTGTAGTTAGTATCAGGTTTGTTCAGTTAGTGTTCAGTTAGTTCAGTTCAGTATCGTAGTTAGTATATCAGGTAGCATTATATAGAGTTCAGGTATTCAGTAGTATCAGGTGTTCAGTTAGTATCGTAGTCAGGTAGTTCAGTTAGTATCAGGTAGTTAACTGTTAGTATCAGGTAGTTCAGTAGTTCGAGTCGTTAGTTCAGTTAGTATCAGTTAGTATCAGTTAGTATCAGTTAGTTCGAGGTGTTCAGTTAGTATCAGGTAGTATTAGTTAGTTTCAGGTTGTTCAGTTAGTATCAGGTATGTCAGTTAGTATCAGGTTGTTCAGTTAGTTTCAGGTAGTTCAGTTAGTATCAGGTAGTTCAGTTAGTATCAGGTAGTTCAGGTAGTTCAGTTAGTATCCGGTAGTTCAGTTAGTATCAGGTAGTTCAGTAGTATAGGTATCAGGTGTTCAGTTAGTATCAGGTAGTTCAGTTAGTATCAGGTAGTTAGTTCAGGTAGTTCAGTTAGTATCAGGTAGTTCAGTTAGTATCAGGTAGTTCAGTTAGTATCAGGTAGTTTCAGGTAGTTCAGTTAGTATCAGGTAGTTCAGTTAGTATCAGGTAGTTCAGTTAGTATCAGGTAGTTCAGGTTAGTATCAGTTTCAGGGTTTAGTTTAGGTAGTTCAGTAGTATCAGGTAGTTCAGTAGTATCAGGTAGTTCAGTTAGTATCAGGTAGTTCAGTAGTATCAGGTAGTTCAGTTAGTATCAGTAGTATCAGGTAGTTCAGGTGTTCAGTTGTTCAGGTAGTTCAGGTTAGTATCAGAGTTCAGTGTACAGTAGTTAGTAGTATCAGGTAGTTAGTTAGTATCAGTTTCAGTATAGTACAGTTGTTCAGTTAGTATCAGGTGTTCAGTTAGTACAGGTGTTAGTTAAGTATCAGAGTGTTCAGGATAGTATGTATAGGTAGTTCTATTAGTATCAGGTAGTGTTCAGTGTCGTAGTTAGGTAGTTCAGTTATGTTAGTGTTAGTAGTATCAGTTCATTAGTTCAGTGTTACAGTATCTTCGTAGTGTAATCAGTAGTAGTAGATCAGTGTCGTAGTCGGTAGTTCGTTGTACAGGTGTTCGTGATCGTAGTCAGTGTCAGGTTTCAGTTGTATCAGGTAGTTCAGTTAGTATCAGGTTGTTCAGTTAGTATCAGGTAGTTCAGGTAGTTCAGTTAGTATCAGGTAGTTCAGTTAGTATCAGGTAGTTAAGTTAGTATCAGGTAGTTAAGTTAGTATCAGGTAGTTAAGTTAGTATCAGGTAGTTAAGTTAGTATCAGGTAGTTAAGTTAGTATCAGGTAGTTAAGTTAGTATCAGGTAGTTCAGTAGTATCAGGTAGTTAAGTTAGTATCAGGTAGTTAAGTTAGTATCAGGTAGTTAAGTTAGTATCAGGTAGTTAAGTTAGTATCAGGTAGTATCAGGTAGTTCAGGTAGTTCAGTTAGTATCAGGTAGTTCAGGTAGTTCAGATAGTATCAGGTAGTTCAGTTAGTATCAGGTAGTTCAGTTAGTATCAGGTAGTATCAGTTAGTATCAGGTTGTTCAGTTAGTATCAGGTTGTTCAGTTAGTATCAGGTAGTATCAGTTAGTATCAGGTTGTTCAGTTAGTATCAGGTAGTTCAGTTAGTATCAGGTAGTATCAGTTAGTATCAGGTAGTATCAGTTAGTATCAGGTAGTTCAGTTAGTATCAGGTAGTTCAGTTAGTATCAGGTAGTATCAGGTAGTTCAGTTAGTATCCGGTAGTTCAGTTAGTATCAGGTAGTTCAGTTAGTATCAGGTAGTTCAGGTTGTTCAGTTAGTATCAGGTAGTTCAGTTAGTATCAGGTAGTTCAGTTAGTATCAGTTAGTATCAGTTCCGTCTGAGCCTACACAAACAGAGAGGAGGAAGGGAGAGAAGGGAACACAAGGGAGACTAGAGGAGAGGTTTACCCCCTGAGGCCTTCCACCTGTTGCTAGTGTTGACCTAGTGTTGACCTAGTGTTCATAATGGCAGATGTGGTGTTTTTATCTCATTTGAACCGTTTAACTGTGACTGTGGTTTATTAAGAAAATACATTGATCCTACATATCCTGGCTTGTTTGGCTAGTTGTCTTGTTTTGCTGGTTGTCTTGTTTTGCTGGTTATCTTGGCAGACGGCCAACTATTGTTTCAGTCACACACACACACACTTTCTTGTACACACACACACACACACTCACTCACAAACACACACATGCACACATCCACTCACACACTGATGTCCCTGTCTCTCTGTCCGTGTCCCGTCAGCAAGCGGTGAAGGAGAATGCAAAGAGGAGGGAGTCGGAGGAGAAGATGAAGAGAGCCAAGCTGGCCAAGGAGAAGGCTGACAGGGAGAAGGAGGAGAAACAGAAGAGAAGCCAACAACTGGACCTCAACGCAGGTCAGAGTGTCTGTGGGAGAGGAGTGGGTCAATGTGTGTGTGTGTGGATGGAAGGCTGTTTTGTGAACTGAACTTCTCCTTGATACCAGTTGGGGGCAGTCAGAGCCCACTGCTACTGGATCTGCGTTCAAGTGTGTGTGTGTGTGTGTGTGTACGAGCGTGTGTGTTGTCTCCAGTGGTCCTCAGCAGACCTAAGAGCAAGAGAAAAGAGCGAGTGAAGGAGAGAGACAGGATAAAGATGTGGATGAGGCAGTAGTCTACCTGTATCATCCCCTCATTCAGTTATTTTTGGAACGAGGGATTTGTGTCCGAAAAGAACAAGAAGAAAGAGTGAATCTCTAAGTCCACAAACTGGTTCTCTCTCTGAGTCAAATTAGATTCATAAAAATACTCATCTTATCCTGTCTCTCTCACACACACACTCACACAGCCTTACACAGGCTCACACAGCCTCACACAGCCTTACACATACTCTCACACAGCCTTACACATACTCTCACACAGCCTTACACATACTCTCACACAGCCTTACGCTGAAACACGTACAAACAGACCACAAATTATTTCTGCTCTCTTTTCCTACTCCCTCACACGCTCCCCCTCTCTCCCTCTCTGACCTACTTTCTGAACATTCCTCCTCTTTATGGCTCCAGTTGGTCTCTCTTGGGACTCCACAGTTCCAGTCATCACGATTCCTCTCTGCCACAGCGCTCTGTGTCAGTGTGTGGGTGTGTGGGTGTGTGGGTGTGTGTGTGTGTGTGTGTGTGTGTCAGTATGTGTGTGTGCATCCCCTCTTTCACCCACATTATTTACATACAGGTTTGACTGCCAAAGCTCAGGGGTATTATTCACTGCACCCTATTTAAGCACACACACACACACACCTAGTCTTTGTGTGTTTTTGATTAGAGCCAAATGACTGGTTGATAATTATTATTAGACAAGGGCTGTCTTCATATAGTGCTTTCTCTAACAATCAGCTTCTCACTCAACCTAACCCTGCTTCTCACACACTCACATTCCCTCTCTCTTTCCTACACACACACAGTTCTGTACTGTAGTCTGATCTAGGACCTGTTCATATTCCTCAGTAGCACCAGGTCTGCATAGTTCCCCAGGTCTGCAGCTAGGTGTCAGTGCTGCATGAAAGAGGGTGTATTTGTTGTGTGTGAGAGAGGAAACCCACGTGGGTGTGTGTGGGGTGTAGCCACCACTAGGGGTGCTGTGGCTCTACCTTAGAGCCTGTGTGAGAGAGAGGTCGAGAGGGTGGGGTGGAAAGAGGGGGGTTGTAGAACAACAGATGTCTCAGGAGGATTAGACGGACCTGGAGAGGAGAAAGGAATCGACAGGAGATGATGATGAGAGGGTAGGATGACGGGGAGGGGGGATGGAGATGCCCTCCTAGAGTAGGGGGGATGGAGATGCCCTCCTAGAGTAGGGGAGATGGAGATGCCCTCCTAGAGTAGGGGGGATGGAGATGCCCTCCCAGAGTAGGGGGGATGGAGATGCCCTCCTAGAGTAGGGGGGATGGAGATGCCCTCCTAGAGTAGGGGGGATGGAGATGCCCTCCCAGAGTAGGGGGGATGGAGATGCCCTCCTAGAGTAGGGGGGATGGAGATGCCCTCCTAGAGTAGGGGGGATGGAGATGCCCTCCTAGAGTAGGGGGGATGGAGATGCCCTCCCAGAGTAGGGGGGATGGAGATGCCCTCCCAGAGTAGGGGGGGATGGAGATGCCCTCCCAGAGTAGGGGGGATGGAGATGCCCTCTTAGAGTAGGGGGGATGGCGATGCCCTCCTAGAGTAGGGGGGATGGAGATGCGCTCCTAGAGTAGGGGGGATGGAGATGCCCTCCTAGAGTAGGGGGGATGGAGATGCCCTCCTAGAGTAGGGGGGATGGAGATGCCCTCCTAGAGTAGGGGAGATGGAGATGCCCTCCTAGAGTAGGGGGGATGGAGATGCCCTCCTAGAGTAGGGGGGATGGAGATGCCCTCCCAGAGTAGGGGGGATGGAGATGCCCTCCTAGAGTAGGGGGGATGGAGATGCCCTCCTAGAGTAGGGGGGATGGAGATGCCCTCCTAGAGTAGGGGGGATGGAGATGCCCTCCTAGAGTAGGGGGGATGGAGATGCCCTCCTAGAGTGGCAAGGGTACGAGGTAGATCAGCTCTTGTGGCTAAAGGAATGTTTGTGTGTGTGTATGGTAGAATAATACATGTGTGTTCTGAACATGATGATGCCAGGCTGGAGGCGGGGTCTATTCTGTCATGCTTATCTCCTGCTATATCTCTAATGCTATTACCTTATTAACAGAGCTTATCAACAGAGCATATGCCCTTAACTCCCGGACATGCTACACCCGGTGGTTTTGTGTGTCAGAGAAGGGTAGAGCTTTCCGTAATGACCTTGACCACAGTCCGCCGCTCAATACCCACTCTCATATTGATTGTGTAATGGCTGTATTAATTAAATAAATGTGAGGTTATGAACTATCAACAAACTCTTCAAATTGATTTAATGCAAAACAATTTAAAAGACCTTATAGAAATACTAGGACATGGTCAATAGTGTACCCCATTTAATTTACCTTATTCATTAAACAGTAATTTCCCAATGCCTGTATAGCTCTGTATCATGATGCCTTACAGTACATTAGCCCCCTACTGTCTCTGTCTATATGCTGTCATTTTAGCAGCCAGGTCATTCGTTCAATAAGCGTAATAAAACAGGTCCCAGTTTGTCCCTTTACTTTTGCCGTTAACACCCACCCAGAGGCAGTTTCCTCCAGAACATGTGTGTGCATTGTTTCCTGGGTGGCTTTGGGTTTAACACAAGCATGTGATTTATGGAAGTGGGGAGTGAATGGATGCCAGATGTATTCTCCTTTGGGTAAAAATAAAACATGACTGCAGGTTTTCTGCCTGTGCAGTTGTGTGCCGCCGCCACTTGGGTGTGTATGCGAGCTGTGTTGTGGGACTGCACTCTCTCTCTCTGTGTGTGTGTGTGTGTGACTTTCTCTGAAGTGACAAGCGGGACTAGGGGCCATCTGCTGCTAGGCTTACAGTGAGATTAAAGTAGAGTGTGTTTGGGGGAGGGGAGACAGGGGGAGGGGGAGGGGAACCAGGGGGAGGGGAGACAGGGGGAGGGGGGAGGTGAAGACATAAACCTTTAACCCAACGCAGCACCCCCTTCTTTTAGTTCAAAGTGATAATAATTAAAACCATCTGCCTGAGTACACCACTGAATCCCCCCTACACACACATACACACATCCCTGGTAAACTTTGTAGCTTATTGAGCCACTGTGTAATAGACCTGTAGATGGTATGTGTGTGTAGTACATGTATGTAGCCTGCAGCCTAGGCAGGATCTAAACTGGGTCAGGGCCCAACTAGCTTCATGTATCTAATGGGCCACCGTGTCCATGTGACTGGTGATGTGTCACTACGTGTGAGAGAGAGAAGGTAGGGGGCGTGCTGTGCCCACTGATCTGCCCCCTGTCTACTGATCTGTCCTCTGTCTATTATGAGAGAGAGAGAGACTAAATATGGATGTGTGTGTGTTTTGTATTGACTCTGTTGTTATAACCATAGAATTAGAATACTAGAATGGACATGAACCGTCTTCTAATGGGATAAAGGTCAGCCATTTTGGTCAGGGAGTTGGTCAACCATGGTTGGTTCGCCAGTGCTGCGATAAGATATTGTGTAAAATAATGAATCTACACTGTATGTTTGTTAGCTAGCCAGACAGTTTTTATGTATTTTAGCAACTGCCAATATGCCAACATTCCATTCAAACAATGCAGTCAATCCACAGCCATACACTGGCTGAAACAAGTACTGATATTGTATCATATTATAGCACACAAATTTAGACATTTATAGTCTGTTTACATATCTTTTTTTGGCTATTTATACAGAATAAAAACCTGTATAAACTATATTTATAATTATGTGACAATATTTTAGGTTGACAAGAATTCTATTACACAATTTCTGATACAGCACATGCCTTACTTCTATTTTCCTGCATAAGTAAAATCAGGATTATGCCTCTACTGCCATTCATTCCAATTACACTGGTTTCCATTTCTCCCTGACCAATATGGCTGCCATGTTCACCCCATTCTGGAACGTTGAGGGTTTATGACATAGCCCCACTAGTAATTTAATAGGATCTCTCTGGTTATAAGGTTGTGTATGTAATATTGATTGTGTATATGTGTGTGTGTGTACAGAGGGTGATGAGACTGGTATCATGGATGGCCTGATGGAGGCGCTGCAGTCTGGTGCCGCCTTCAGGAGGAAGAGAGGACCACGACAAGCCGGTAAGAACACACTGTTGCTCTCTCTGTGTGTGTCTCTCTCTCTGTGTGTGTCTCTCTCTCTGTGTGTGTCTCTGTCTATGTTTCTCTATCTCTCTCTCTCTCTCTCTCTCTCTCTCTCTCTCTCTCTCTCTCTCTCTCTCTCTCTCTCTCTCTCTCTCTCTCTCTCTCTCTCTGTAACTCACTCACACACACACTTAGGCGGACACACTCTCTCCATCATACACTCTTTCTCACCCTCATGCACAAACACAGTGATTCTCCCTCAGATTAAACCTTCAGTCCCTGCTTGCCCTCCTGTGTGTCTGCCATCTGTTGTGTGGCTGGGGCGTGGCACCAGTTTGGGCTCTGCTCCAGGGAACCAGCCAGGGCAGGGATGAGGGTGGCAGACACCGGGAGGGGTGGCAGTAGAGGGGTTCAATTATAGGTTCCAAATACACTATAAAAATGTGGCTTCACAATGACATAAACATTAAAAACATGTTAACCCCGGTCCTGTCTACAACCGCTAGCCTAGGGCTAGCACTAGCAGGGCTGTTCACACTGTCTGTCTCAGTGATCTGTATTGATTTCCACTCAGACCTGTTCTACTGTTCTCCAGCCTCTCTCTCAGGCCAGACGATACACCACCCACATCATCTGGTTAAATACTCGCTCTCTCTGCTGTTTCACTGGCCTATTGAGTTACTCACTTCAGCTGCTACTGCCACACACACACACACACACACACACACTCTCTCTCTCTTAAA